AATAATTGTTTATTAAATAGGATATCCTAATATACACAAATCAATTTAAATTTAAATATAAATACAAGCACACAGTAAGAGGATAGCCAAACTAAGGATCAATTAACACATATTATTTACTTTTGTATATTTAACAAGCTGTCTTTTAAATGCAACAAGTGACTGGCATCTTTTTAACTTTACTGGTAATCTATTGAAATTAACAACCCCTTCATTAAATAGACAATTCATTGTATGACAATAATTTGTTCTCCAAACATGGAAGTTATCGGCACCTCTAGTAAAGTAGTCGTGAATTTCATGATTCCTTATAATACTGGTTAAAATAATCAGGTAACAAATTATTTATAAGCTTATACAGGGTGATTCAGAACTTATCCAAAAAAAAAATTCTGCATGTACAGGGGACCCTTACAAATACAATTTTGTAAAGAAAAAATGAAAAAGGGCAGTTCGAAAATGATTTAAAAATACACTTCTGCACGGCACTGGAAACTGGTCCACTGTAAAACCTGACCTGGCACAATGCGACCGGCATGGCGGTGTGATAAAAACGAACAAAAACTTTCGCAAGGAAAGAAATATGTAAATAGGATTTTATCGCACCTATTTTATATCGGCAAATTCAACTGCATTTGCCTTTATTGTTATTATTAATTAATAAAATTAATTTGTGTTTTTAAATAATAAAATCATTTGACACACCCGATGTTACAACAATTGTTCAAAATTTTATCCACCAATGTGACATTTGGGTCCGTTGTACTCTGTTTCCACAAACTAATACAAATGTTGTCTTGTTTCACCATAACGCAAATGCTTCACCATAAATTAAAACGATATCCATCAACACCGAGTACACGCAAACCATTTTTGACACTAACTACTAAAAACCTTTTATAAACATCACAGATAACAGGTAAATATCGCAATGACGATTGCAAAATTTATAACTCCATCAAATTTGAAACAGGAAAAACAGTCTTGCGGAAAATGACAGATAATAATATGTAGTTTAATCGTACGTAAGATGGTTTCTGTCTAATGCATAGTTTTTACACAATTGCATTGTAAACAAATCAGGGTCTTTTTTGCACTGCATGGCGATTTATCAAAAATGAAATTCGGAAAATGGCATCTGAAAGTAGACGATAAAATCTCCAATTTGTATATCTCGGATTTTGGCCTGGGTGATGGGAAATATACTAAAAATGCCCTTGAAAGTCATCCGAAACGATCGAAAGTACGCTCCACGCGGTAGTGGGGGAAGCAGCAAGCGGAGGACTCTGGCTCGAGCATACTTTCGATCGTTTCAGGCGACTTTCAAGGGCATTTTTTAGCATATTTCCCATCACCCAGGCGAAAATCCAAGATATACAAATTGGAGATTTTCGATTTTTGTCTACTTTCAGATGCCGTTTTCAGAATTATTGTTAAATACTTTACTTATTGTAGGAAAATTAAGACACGATGCTAAGTTTAATTGTTTAATAACTGGGCTAATTCTTACATTTTCTTACTAACTTACTGACTTCCTGGTGTCGAGCATTTTTGATAAATTGAAAAAAAAGACCCTAATTTCTTTGTAATGTAATTGTGCAACAACTATTCATCGGACAGAAACCATCTTGCACACAATTAAACTACATATTATCTGTCAGATGGTTTTTCCAGCTTCAAATTTGGCGGAGTTATGAATTTTTGAAAAAAGGTCTATTTTAGAGGTTTTTCCGGATTTTCGCTGTAAAAAATGAACCAATCAGGCCGCACAAAAAAACACTATAGGTTTTTTTTATTCTCTACAAAAGTCCTATTGAGAGTAAGACGATTCCGTCATTATTTTCCGAGATATTATAAAAAAAAAGAAAAAAAATGTCATTGTTTTTGCAGTTTTTATTGTTTAAAAAACAATTGTTCACGACTTTGCTAGGGAAATCACTTGAGTTTTCATTTACTAAGTATTTTTCAAAAGTTAATACATGAAATTTGCTGTAATATTTAAGTGTTCGAAAAAATCTCTATTGGATGGCCTATATGGTGTCCGAGATGGAGAAGGGAATGAGTGACATGGAACTTAGTGGGCAAAATTATAAGGGGGTCGGATGATCTGCAGAATATGTCAGAAGGGGAGGTTAAAATTATAAAAATAGTTTCATGCCGCAGCCCATGGAATCATCAGAAAGAGTTTTAAAATCATAGTAAAAAGGGGTAACGTGGAAATCGATTACGGATGTGTTACAGATGTTGTAGATTTGGTCACATGATAAAATTTTGTAAATAAAATGAACTATGTATAGGAAATCACAACGCAAGGGGTTGTAAAGACAGATAGGAAATGTTAATATTAAATATAACGAAAAAAATATCCCCTGGCCAACGAGGCGCTTGATGGAATAATTTTGGCGGTTATAACCAATATAGACCTTCAACTGCTCTTATATAATTGAACTAACAAATTTATCAAAATTAAATTTGTACACAGATATAAGAAATATGTAGTAAATATTTTTTAAATGAAAATGTGATTTGCAGGACTTAATATTCCCAGAACAAGTGGTGTTAACTAATACCAAATCTGATAGTACTGTGTCCACTCCTGTTAACAAATAATCTCCGTGATGGTTTTGTAGGTGCTTTAGGTTAGTACAAATATTTTGGTAAGATCACATTTTTCCTTTTCAAAATGCTAACACATACTTTAATTCGAATGAATTCGAAAAGGATGAGGCTCAAAATAATGTTATGTTTTATTTTTCTGTTAATACAAAATCTTGTTTTTTGTCAATAATCTTCCTTAGCTACCACAGACCCTATAGCTGATCCGATAAAAATAAATAAATCATATATGCAAAGATAAGTAATAAAACCATCACTACAGTCTCACCAACACAAGGTTATAACTGTAAAAAATATAACTAACATTTTAAGCTACACTTGATTATTATTTTTAGATCTAGATTTTTTTTTATATAAAAACACGATGTGAAAACTTTTTTAATTATTTCAAAATCCATTCGAAAAATCGTCACCGTTTTATTACAAATTAATGAATAAAATAACCAATAACCAGATCCTGTCTTGGATTAACAGGCAGTGAATCTTGTGGGAAGGTACCTTTACCAACAGATTTACCAATTGAAGTACCATTAGCATGTTCCGGGGACTTGGGATATTTGGAGCAATATTTAATTAATGAAAATACTATGGCTTTGGCAAGTACAGCCTTCATAAATGTGCGAGTCCCACATGACCCCGACTGTTAAGCAAACAAACTTACAGTGGGGTCGATGATTAACATAAAATTCCATAAGGACAGATTTACATTTCTTTACGAGCTTTAAACATTAATTTGCAAATAGATCATTTAAGATACTTTGAAGGTTTATCCAATTGAAAAAGTATTTTTTGGTTAAAGACGGTTGTTTAAAAAATAAAGGCTCTTTTGTAATCCACTTTCATTCAAAGATAACACAGCCCCACAAAAAAAAATTGAAATTATTTTCTCCGATATCTGAGAAGGTGCACTTCATGTTTTTGGGGTTGCTGAATCCGAATCCGGGGTCCGTTTAACCCCATCACGTCAGGGTCAAGGGCATCTGAAGGTCAAATTGTGGAATGACTATTAAAAAATCTGGAAAAATGTATATATATATTTTCGGGGTCGCTAATCTGAATCCGGGGTTCTCTTGACCTTGAAGTGTCAGAATCAAGGTCAAATAAAGGTCAAAACCCTAAAATTTGAAGATTTTGACTCCGACTTCTTGAAGAGCAGAAAATTTTGCGTCCGAATATGTATTGACTTTTTTTTAGAACAGACCTTTGTAGGTCACGTGATGGTCATCCAAAATCAAATCCATTTTCCAGCTTTTGGCTGTAAATTGAGATCTTGGGTCTTTGATGAGTTGATATTTTTTGGGTCATTGATCACGATTCTGGTATTCATTTGAGCCAATCACGTCGGAATATAACGATATAATATTTTCTTACTCCGGATTCTGAAAGAGTAAAAAATTTCATCCGTGTGTTTGCATCCAGGGCACCTCCCCGTGGTGACGGCGGGCAACGGAGTTGTCCCGCTATTCGGCAAAGTTCCTGGAACAGGACGCGTATGCCGTCATGGCAAACCCAACGGAGAAATTTACGATGCAGGAGGATGGAACCCCAGTATCGGCGGCTGGTCAGGGTGGGAAAGTGGGCCCGCAGGCGTCGTCATCCAGTGACCGCGGCTCTGTTGAGGTGGCTACCTTGGCCTCACCAGAGTATAAAGCTACAAATAGTAGAACCCATAGACATGAGCATGACAACCCAAAAACCCCATATCATTTCTGTTATGTTTGTGGTAAATACGTATTCGGATGTAAAATTGTCTGCTCTTTCGGAATCCGGGGTCAAAAATATCATATCAAATTTTAGGGTTTTGACCTTTATTTGACCTTGATTCTGACATTTCAAGGTCAAGAGAACCCCAGATTCAGATTTAGCGACCCCGAAAACATGTATATCAAATTTTCCAGATTTTTTAATAGTTATTCCGCAATTTGACCTTCAGATGCCCTTGACCCTGATGTGATGGGGTTAAACGGATTCAGCAACCCCAAAAACATAAAGTGCACCTCCTCAGATATCAAAGAAAATAATTTCAATTTTTTTTGTGGAGCTGTGTAATGAAAACGATGTTTTTTTTTCAATATTTACATATAAATTATAGTTAAATTAATTTACCTTACAATGCTAAGATAAACACAGTTATTTTACTTGGCTAATCAATGGTTATTATATGTGTACTAATCAAATTTATAATAGATGTTATTTGGTGTTATGTTTATTTCATGTTCAATTGCTGCTTTTAGCTTTTCAAGTGGGTGAAGAGGATGTTTAATTATCTTATTTTTTATATGGCCCAACAGATAAACATCTAAAGGCGTGAGATCGGGGCTTCGAGTAGGAGTAGGCCACAAACCCCTAGTAATCAATCTAGCTGGCACCAGTATGTGTTATAGCTCCATCTTATTCAAAATGCCCATGCTGCAGTTCATTCTCGTGCGTTAATTCCGGGGCTTGCAATCAAATGTAACTGTAAGGATGTAAGGTAAGCATAAAATTATGCGGATTTTCTGTAGCCTAAATTCTATAATTCTGACTATTTGCATAACCAGATAAATGTACCCATACCTCATCAGAATAAATTAAGGTCTAATAAATTATCGTCGTTTAAATGTTTTTTAAACCATCGACAATGTTGTACTCGTTGGTTGTGATTAGGAGGACGTAATTCTTGCACGGTGGAAACAGCTGCTTTAATGCCTTGTGACAACTCCCAACTGATTTTTCAAAATTATTTAGTTATTTATGCCCGTTTGCACCGTAGTGTTTAATCCAGGATTAAGTCTGAACTTGGATTAAAATATAACTTTTTGTTTGCACCGTTTCAAATCTATGTATTAATCTATACTCCGCGGTCAAAATTATAGAGAGTGACTCATCGCTAGCTTTTGGACTAGTAAGGGGGATGAAGTGTGCCGGGAACGAAAATCCATTCGTGTATCTGCGTAAAAGGCAACAAAATATAGAAAATATTGAAAAAAGATAATAAAAACATAACATCTAATATTTTTTACGGTTTGCTATAACCGGCACTTTGATCAATTTTAATTATTACAGCATTTTAAAACGTCCCACTTGTGTTTTTTCAATTTATAAATTTATTATAGCCATGGAATTAGACCCCTCGTCTACGCTTATGCTATGACATTTCTCAGGACGGATAATTCAAGTCTGTTTACACCCACTAAAAAAGCATTTCCCTATTCCCTAACAAGTGCAAAAGACAGAGATAGAATATAGATCGACGTTCAGTGTAACTCGGTCTATAGACGATTATAGATTCTATCGATGTGCGTAGCGAGCGGCACAAAGATAAATAATATTGAACCGTATAAAAATCATTTTATATTTTATACCCATTATGGTAATAGTGCTCTATAATTTCGACCGCGGAGTATAGGATTAATTTAAACCCTCAAATTTGACCGCTTAAACTTGGATTAATGAGAAAATATAAATTGACACTATTGACAGTACTTAGCTGCTAGTTATAATTTTTTTAAATAGGCATTTCTTCCTTTTCCTGTCGACTGTGTATGAGTGAGCGGTGTTAAGACATCATTGAGAACTTTGAGATGGATTCAGATTCTGACTGTGTTGTATTAGATGATTTTGATATTCACGAAATTATAGACTTTGGATTTCCTAGATATATTAGAAATGATCTATTTCATAATCTAGACCAGTGTTTCCCAAAGTGTGGGTCGCGACCCCCCGGGGGGTCGCAGTGAGGTATTAAGGGGGTCGCCGGGAATTTCCAAAATAAGAGAAAACGCCACTTTGTTAAATCATGTATATTTATTCTAATAAAGTCGTAGGTAATTATTAACAATTTGTTATCAAATGAAAGATTAATCTAAATAATATTAATAAATCTTAAAAGTAAAGCGAAAAATAAAGTAAAATAGTATAGTGTTAATGAGACCCATGCGCCTGTTTTTTTGAAACCAGTCTTTCAAATCTGACCTGTGTATTCGAGACACACACAATTATATCATTTTCCAGTTCCAGGCGATTTCTCATTTTTGTTTTGATGGCAGTCATAGATGAAAAACTTAACTCACAATCAGATAAATACAATGTTACGAATGGAACCAAATATAACTTATTATTAATTTATTTTTATTGTAAATATTGTATTTGGCAGAAGTGCCATTAGTTAACTGTTAAATTTAATTTTAATATATTTAATTTAAACTTAAACAATAAGGTAAAATAAAATTTCAAAAATAATCAGTTAATTGTAATTTAGGCACGCTATTTTGGTTTGAGTGATGTGTAGGGGGGTCACCGAGAAAATTTTTAACAAAAAAGGGGTCACGCTTTAAATAAGTTTGGCAAACGCTGATCTAGACAATATGACTTTTTTCAGCAGATTTAGGTTGACAAAAGAGACCACATTACATCTGCTGATATGTGACATGTATGTTTTACGAACACGTCGGCATGAACACGATGCAATTGGCAATCAGAACTTTGGAGTTATAAAAAGCTCTTATTCTTAACATGATTTTGTATTTCTGGGAATAATAGTCCAACAATTGGTTCTATGCTCGTGCTGGTCATTTGTCTGCTATTGCAGACTTTTCAGGGATGGACATATCAACAGTGTCCAGAATAATTGTACGAGTATCAATTGCAATAGCTCGGCTTTATCAGAGATACATAAAAATGCCAAACCCAGAAGAAATAGTTAGTGTGAACATGAGTTCTATAAAATTGCATCATTTCCTAGAGTGTTAGGTGTCATTGATGGTACTCATATTAAAATTTTGGTTTGAGAATTTGACTTAGACATATTTTTTTCCGAACATAACTGGACATAAGTTAGCAGCATAATAAAATCCCTAAACAATATTCATAAAGCCCAGTTTAAATTAATCTACAATCGGCAGAAAGTGGTGCAAAAGCTGATTATTAAAACCTAGTTTTAAAATTAAACCAAGTTCAATTGAACTTGGCTTAAATTCTAAACGGTGCAAATGGGCATTAGTTAACTATTTTTTTTACTTTAGCTTTAGGTTATAGTATATTATGTAATAAGTGTTGTAAAAAGCATTTTACGCACGAATGGAAAAGTTACGCATGACGCCGAGTGCGTAATTCTATGAGTGGGTAATTGCATTACACCACGTATTACGTACTGTACCTACGACCACTACTGTAAATACTTAAAAACACACCGTCCGCGATCAATGTAAGATTCCTATTTTACGTACGGTAAAAAAATCGCACAGCTTGGTAAAAAAATCGTACAGTTTTCCTAGCAACTGCCTAGCAACGTCCAATACAAACAGTATTGTATTGACCGTTGCTAGGAAAACTGTGCGATTTTTTTACCGTACGTAATAGGAATCTTACATTGATCGCAGACGGTGTGTTTTTAAGTAATTACAGTAGTGGTCGTAGGTAAAAGAATTTACATAATTCAAAGTACATTAAGTTTATCGCTGTACCTGTTTACATAGATAACTGTGAAATAGGACTCTTAGGACTTTGCACCATTCGTTGTCGAATATCTTCAACAACATTTTCTGTTAAAACAGTAGGTCTGCCTGACGACGCCCTTGCAGATGCAATGTTTTTCATCATATCTTTTACTAGAATTAAACACATCATATATTAGCATCAGGAGAAGCTTCAACAAATTGTTCCATCTGCGTTCCGTGTACCACTATGAAAATGTACAGGGTGATTCATTATATTTTGACCCCCCCCCTTTACTTTTTTGTTTTAAGAGATAAAAAAATGTAAAATACAAAAGTTGCACGATTTTTTATGAATTTCTCGAAAATGATATTTAAAAAACAAATGAAGTCCAAACAAAATCTATAAATCCTTACGTAATTGGAAAAAAGGCAGAAGTACCTGAAAGAGGTCTAACAATTACAAGATATCTTATTAATAAAAAACATTCTTTTCCTTTTTTTAATAGTATCTCGTTTATTGTTAGAGATGGGCCCAACAAACCCTATATGACTATGCTCGACAGAGAACGTTTTATCCAAATATGTAAAAATATACAGGGTGTTCCATTTAAATTAACAAAGTTAACATTTGCGGCCATTTTGTTTGGACTTCATTCATTTTCTTAAAATTCATAAAAAATCGTGAATTTTTTGTATTTCACATTTTTTTATAACTAGAAAAAAGTTTTTCAATTCAGACAAAGATTAATTTATAGAAAAACACAGAAATACTGCTAAATTGTATAAAAAATACGCATAAAAACCCGAAAAATTACGAACGCCTCTGGATTGACAGTTCATTTAGGGTCCTACTTGGTAATTTTTCCTTGATAATTTCTGAAACATAACTCAAAAAAATCAAATTTACTGAGCGACAAGACAAATTGGTCACGTGGGACTCGGACATTTATGAAGGCACTATTTTATATTCAAACAATTTTTGATACTGCCTTTAATAGAAATATGCTTTTGCTGCCTCTAATGTCAATTTTGATGAAATATATTTAGCTTATTGTTAAAGAACTTGAATATGTGTATACTTCTACCATCGTGCCATAAATATGTGGAAATAGTTCCAGATATTTTGATTCTATTATTTTTTTTAGGTTTCATACTTATGTACACTAAGAGGAAAGGACGCAACAGCAATTACTAATGTAATGAGGCTTGCTGCAAACTTCAGTGTCTATGGAAAACTTGCAGAAAAAACATTTCCTGAATTGAAATTGAAAAATGTAGTTGTAAGTATTTTTGCAAATATTTGTTAATATATGTGTTAAAAATTTTTTTTTAATTAGTGACAGAAAAGAAAATTTGTTTGTGGATTTTGAACTAGTTTCAGTAACTTCCTCTATCGTTATTGTAGCTATCAGTTAGAAAGATATAAAGTTAATAAAATCAAACTCGATCATATTTATATTTCCAGGTTCAGTTGAGAAGAGGTTCCAAGCAACAGGGAAGGAAATAGAAGATATTATAAGGGTGTTTGAAAATTGAAGATGTCGGGAACTAAAATCTAGCATATGTCATAGCGTAAAAAGAAATAATTGTTTGTAAACGCCAAATATACCGCATTGATAAGGCTTCGGAAAGCTTATATCAACATTAAAAATGTGACTCATCTCATCATTCTCGGGAAACTGATTTTGCAAATGAAATTGATGTTACCAACTAAGTATATTGGTGAAAAGGTAACAACTCATTGCAGTGTAATAATAGACACTCGAATAATACTTTTGATAACTAGTAAAGGTGAGAATATTTTATTTTATTTTCAATCCCTTTTTGAAAAATAAGGCATCTTAACCGTTTTATCCTCGCATCATTCTAAAACACTTGTAGCGAATAGGCAACCATTTTTTATAAATTTTTTTGCACACTTTAAATATGAATTAATGCACTAATAACAGACTTTCCCCCATTCTGACACAAATTTTCTATAAAATGGACCTAGTTTGAACCTCAAATTACTTTTTGTCGTAAAGGAATTTGTAATTTGCCGCTTTGCAACATGACTGTGGCCCAAAGCCTGCTGTTTTTCATAATTTAAACAGTATAAAAAGTCAAATATTAAAAAAAAATTACTTGTTCATTAAATCTCATTCAAATGCTGACGGTTACTGTTTTATAAATTAATGTTAATGTATCATTGTTCAAATACACAATATCCTTATTGATAGTGGAAACAGAATATTGGCAAAAGTTTTTATAATTTTATTTCATTATATACAGGGTGTAACTTTGAGTGGGGGACATATTTGTACAGAGGCTTCCTTTGACCTTTAGAAACACGTATCGGTAGTTTATTTTTTCAAGTTCACTTTTTTAACCTTTTTTTTAAATGTTAATTATAGATGTTTGAGAAAGGAAACAGACATTTCTCAAAGCTTGACTAGAAAAACAATGTTTTTAGTATATTAGCTCTTAACACCGTCGACTGCGTTCCCAAATATATCACTTCCCGTTTGAATTCTAGATATGGGTTTTTATCAGTTGAAGATGTGGTTCCAACACACGGGACTACTTAAAACATGGGCTGACATCAACATCAAACTAGCAAACTTGAGGAATAGGATGTTTTTTTCTATTGAAAGTGTAGAAAATTGTCTTTTTCCGGATCAAGTCACAAATGATTTCATACGTCACAATGAGGGTCGGTTAGGACATCAGTTTAGAAATTTCAATTTTAGTCTTATTTTTCTGCAATAGATTAAAGTTCTTGGTTATCCCGTTGATTCTTGAGATTTTATATGGTCTCATGCTACTCAATAGAATCGATGACGAAACTATAGGTTGTTTTGAATTAGTGCGTGATTCGTCTAATTTTGAAACGTCACTTAATTTTATAGAAAACCAATGTAATTCTCTTTCTAGTACGCAAACAATGCAAACAAAAAAGAAAACAAGGCTTAAAACTGTAGGACAAGGAGGTGTCATTATATGTCCGGCAGAGATCGAATTACTGAAGAAGGAGATTGTGGATTTAAAGCTGAAAATTCGAGATCTCACTGCAACTGCCTGCGACTCTTATAGATAACGCGACGAAAATAATGATACTACAAAATGCCAACGAGGGGCTAAACAAGAAAATCTTATATTTAAAATCCTTGAACAAACATTTAATGAGTGCTTCATTGAGCCACGCGGACAGAGAAAGAGAAAAACAAGAGAAAGAAGAAAGTCATACCACTAGACAGATGGCACTGAAATCCCAACTACTAGAAATCTAAAAACAAATGGTATTTAAAGAGTGTGGCATTACAACTAGTCGGAATAATCGATACATCGCTACAAAGCGATGGCCGATAATGAAGCGAAAATTGCTCTTCTGAAAGAGAAAGAGGAGTTGCTGCAACAGATGAAGAACGTCCAGGCTCAAGGTACATCGAGTAAGATCGCAGAACAGAGAAGAAAAGAGTTCAGGAGCTGGAGGTGCAGCTACACGACTTGGTACAAGAGCAAGGCCGCCTCATTAAACTGAAAGAGAAGAGACGAACAGCGACTGGGCAGACTGAACCAAGAAATAGTCCAGATGAAACGGGACAAAGTAAAGTTGTTGCGAACGATGCAAGAAGATAGCGAGAAATTTCGGCAGTGGAAGTTTGAGAAAGAGAAGGAATGCGAACGGCTAAATCAGGAAGATGGGGAAAAGGGGAACGAAATAGTTCAGTTGATATATTAGCACTGGCTTGGCACATGTTATGGTTACGTAAGTTTTTTTAATTTTATAAGTTTTTGTTAATTTAAATTTAATTTTTCGTTTAATACCCCCTCCATTGGTTTTTGTATCTTCGTTCTCTCCCCCCTACCTATCGGGAGCTCTATGGTGCGACAAGGACGTTTTCGAAGCTATGGAGCCACGCGTGTGTCCGCTTCTAATTCCACTTTCCGATTTTCGCTAATAAAATTTAGTGCAAAAGGGTGAAGACAGGCTCGAGTGAGTCGAATCCGAATTAAGGTATTACATAATTTGAATTTGTTATAGGCAAGCGAGTGACAAGTTTAAGTGGAGGTCCTTTTAAAGAAGAAATCAAATAGCCAAATTTTGCAATACCGGGTAATGATGTATTTTCATGAATAGTAGACTTAAAAAAATCTATATATGCGGTAAACTGCATCACCAGAGAATTTTATTAAATCAACATTTGGGAGATTTATTAGGTTATTTTTAGGTAAAGGTGACAGCGGTTGATTTATTGGCATAGCATTTAAAAATAACTCATTAAAACAAGTTTTAATTTTATAGAACGTTGTGTCGAATTCATGAGATACTTCGATCGCGTCTCGCATTTCTTCCTCATCCTGTATAACTAAAGGAATTAAAGCGGCATGTTGTTTACTAAACTCATTTTTAATAGCATCATTATCAGCGTACCTAGCTTGAAATAAACTTTTAGATGATAAATTGTCTAATTTAATTATTTCGATTTGACGTAATGATTTTATCAGCCATCTGTAACTGATGAAAAAAATGCGATCAATATGCAATCGATGTTTGAACAAAGCGAGGGGATTCTTCAATTTTAATATCAATAAGATTGTTGAAATATAATATGTATGCTATAATTGGTTCAAAATAAACGGTTTTAGTTGGTATAAATTCGAGACAAAAGCGTAGCGGTATAGTACTTGGTCTATAAAAAGTGCGAAGTAATCTAAAAAACGCCGATTGGCACTTGAAACTCTCAAAATTGATTGAAAATAAGATTGAAATAAATATAATAATTATTTAACAATTATGATTTATGTGAATTAAATTGTAATTAGAATACCCCCCTCAATATTATTTAAAATAAACAAATCAGCAGCCAATGTGACCAAAAAATGTTAAATATATAAAATAATTAGTGGACTGTAAAATTTTGGTGATAATCAAAGCACAGGAATTGACGTCGACTAACTGGATTCGACTCGCACCTGAGCTTGTCTTCATCCTTTTGCATTTAATTGTATGAGTGAAAATTGGAAAGCGGAATTAGAAGCGAGCACACGCGTGGCTTGATAGCTTCGGAAATGTCCTTGTCGAATCATCGAGCTCTCGACATGTAGGGGGGAGCGAGCGAAAGTACAAAAAACAATGGAGGTGGTATTAAACGAAGAATTAAATTTAAATTAACAAAAACTTATAAAAATTAAAAAAACTTACGAAACCATAACATGTGCCAAGCCAGGGCTAATATATCAACTGAACTATTTCGTTCCCCTTTTTCCCATCTTCCTGCTTTAGCCGTTGGCATTCCTTCTCTTTCTCAAACTTCCTCTGCCGAAATTTCTCGCTATCTTCTTGCATCGTTCGCAACAACTTTACTTTGTCCCGTTTCATCTGGACTATTTCTTGGTTCAGTCTGTCCATTCGCTGTTCGTCTCTTCTCTTTCAGGTTAATGAGGCGGGCTTGCTCTTGTACCTTTTTATTAATTCGTGTAGCTGCGCCTCCAGCTCCTGAACTCTTTTCTTCTCTGTTCTGCCATTTTACTCGATGTACCTTGAGCCTGGACGTTCTTCATCTGTTGCAGCAACTCCTCTTTCTCTTTTTGCAGAAGAGCAATTTTCGCTTCATTATCGGCCATCGCTTTGTAGACCACCATGTATCGATTATTCTGGGTAGTTGTACCGCCAAATTCTCTTTCAGTACCATTTGTTTTTGGATTTCTAGTAGTTGGGATTTTAGTGCCATCTGTCTAGTGGTATGACTTTCTTCTTTCTCTTGTATTTCTCTGTCCGTGTGGCTCATTGAAGCACTCATTAAATGTTTGTTCAAGGATTTTAAATCTTAATATTTTCTTGTTTAGCCCCTCGTTGGCATTTTGTAGAATCATTATTTTCGTCGCGTTATCTATAAAAGAGTCGCAGGCAGTTGCACAGTGAGATCTCGAATTTTCAGCTTTAAATCCACAATCTCCTTCTTCAGTAATTCGATCTCTGCCGGACATATAATGGCACCTCCTTGTCCTACAGTTTTAAGCCTTAACTGTTTTCTTTTTTGTTTGCATTGTTTGCGTACTAGAAAGAGAATTACATTGGTTTTCTATAAAATTAAATGACCTTTCAAAATTAGACGAATCACGCACTAATTCAAAACAATCTATAGTTTCGTCATCAATTCTATTGAGTAACATGAGACAATATAAAATCTCAAGAATCTACGGGGTAACCAAGAACTTTAAGTGCTTCTACGTTTTCCAAATAATCATCAAGTAAATGACGTAAAGCGTGAGGATCTTCTGAAGTTAATTTTGGTAACCTTCCTATTGCAGAAAAATTAGACTTAAATTCAAATTTCTAAACTGATGTCCTAACTAACGATCCCACATTGTGATTTATGAAATCATTTGTGACATGATCCCGAAAAAGATAATTTTCTACACTTTAATTTTTTAGTTTGATGTTGATTTCAGCCCATGTTTGCGTGCTAGAAAGAGAATTGATATTCTATAAGTACTTTGATTATCAAAATTTTACAGTCCACTAATTACTTAACATCTTTAAAATT